GGAGCCGGACACTTCGCTGACCAAGCCACCCAGGCGGCCCTGCTTATGTCTTGCAGACCCATCCAGACCCATCTTCATCCTCCTCCCAGGCCTGTTTCCAAAGGGCCTAGGCACTTCTGGCGGCCAGGGGAGCCAATCTACGTCTAGGAGAGTGTGTAAATGTGTGTGTGATGCTTGTCAGGTTGGTGTGCCTTAGATGAGCATGAATGTCCCCAGGGTACGCCCCTAGTGTCTGAGTGTCACTTTGGCTGTGTGAGGGTGTGTATGCATGCTCCCGACTGTGAGAATCCACACGTGTGGGAGCTTAACGGTCTGAGCGTGTGTGAGCGCATGATGTGTGCATGTGTGTGCAAACACGTGAGCGCACGGAGGTGTTCTCTCTCCCCTCTGCCCATTCAGATTTGCTCCTATCCTAAAAACCCCAGGCCACACCCACCTCTTTTCTGATTCCTGACCTCCCAGTGCCCCATCTGTCAAAACCACACAAGGGCCAGCATCCCATCCTTGGCTGGTGGTCTGGCTGGTTTAGAGGGGATTCCATCTCCTAGTCTGCAGGGCAGGGCGGGCCTGCGTGCACACCCCACCCTAGGTCTAGCGTCAGCTACGTCTCCTGAGGTCAACGGCCCCTCCTTCTGCCTCCCCTGCAGGTTTCTTTAATGGAGGGAGGGGGCCTGACCTCAGAAGGGTCTGGCCGGCGGGTCTGGTGGCCTCCAGCAGCCCAAGGCAGGTGGGGCAGAAGGTAGTTGCACCTTCATGCTTCCTTCCTCCGTGACCGTGGCCAGCTGACGAGGATGGGAGTCCACACTGCATTCTCTCAGTGAGTTCCCAGGGGCCCATTGCTGGGGCCTTGGGACCCCAGAGCCTTGTCCCCACTTAGGGACCCCTGTGGGTCCCAGGGCAGCTTGGCCCCACTCTTTGCTTCCTTCCTGCACTCTCCCTTTAGGAGCCCCCAAGCCTTGGGCCTCCTCCCAAGCTCTGGCCCCAGAGTATTCACAGGCTTCTTTTGGTCTAAGCCCTTTTCCTTCTCTGTCTCCTTCTTTCTGAGACATTGGTTCCCCGGAAAGCCCTTCAGCCTCTCCTATAGTTACCAGAGGATCCTTTTTCTTTAACTCACTAGAAATGGACCCTTGCTACAAGCAAGGTGAGCAGGTGCCTGGAGGCATGGGGTCACTTCAGTCCATCCCCAGGCCAGCCTGCCCTTCCCTCAGTCCTGGCCAGGCACACTCCAGCCTCAGGGTCTTTGTTCTAGTCTTTTTCTGTCTGGAATGTTCTTCCCCAGACTCTGCTTGGCTCCTCCCTCTCCAAACATTTGTCAACATGTCTTCTCAATGGGGCCTACCTGGTCCACCCAATCTAATACTGTGGCCTGTGTGCACGCACGCACACACACACGCACATCCTCATGCCCTCTGGCCCTCCCGGCACGTATCATCTCCTGGCCCTGCCCTGCCTCCCCGTTTTCTCACTACACCCGTCACCTCCTTACATACAACAGAATTCATCTATTCTGTCTATTGTGTCTCCCCTACAAGAATGCTGGCCCCATGAAGGCAGGGATCTTTGTGGTATTCCCTTTTATTTCCCAGTGCCCGAAACTGTGTGGAGCCATTTAGCCGCTCCACGGACATTTGTTTTGGTTGCTGGGATGGCTGCTGAGAGAAGAGAGAATCTGTGGGAGAAATGGCTGCTTCTCCCCCAGGCCTATGGTCCCAGTGAGGGCTGGGAGGGGGGGGGGGTTGTCCAGCTCCCTCTACCCCACCTGCCCTGCCGGGGGCACTGGGCCAGGGAGCCACCCCCCCACACACAATGCTGGCCCCATGCGTGCATGCTGGCACACACCTGTGCACCCGGCATCTGCAGCCCCACCACCCACCACCGCTGACGTGGCTGTGGTTTCGAGGCCCCAGAGGTGCAGATTAGAGACAGAGTGTCCTGTTTTCTGCCGCTGAAGAAGCAGGTGGGGGCGGGGGACGGGCTCGCCTGCAAACAAGCACATGCAGAGGTCCCTTCTCCTCCCCTTCTTGCACACACATGCACACACACGCACACACACGCACACACACACACACACAGATGGACAGCCAGGTGGCCCAGACTGGCTGCTGTTTGGTGTCAGTATGGGAGCCATGCCTCTGTCTGTACCGAGCCCTGCTGCAGGTGGGGAGAGGGGACAGAGGAAGAGGCTGCAAGTTCCTTTCCCAGTGCCTGAGCTGCCGCCTCAGGGCTTCATGCCCACCCAGCATGGCCACCTAGCCTCACGTGTCAGGTCTTTCCTTTGGGGGAAGCATTGTCCTCTTTTACCTTCTGTCAAAACCACATCCCCATAGGAGGGGGCCCGCATTCAGCCCTCGGTGGGGAGGAGCAGGTCTGCCTCTGTCACTCCTGTGCTCCATGGTGCACTCAGCAGCTGGCCGGACCGCCACGGCTCCCCCCCCCCCCCCCCGGCCCGGGGGGGCCGCCCCCCCCCCCCGGGCCAGTGCCTTCCCTGTTCCAGGAGTCCCCGATTTGAGGGGAGATGAGTGTGGCCTCTGGAAGCAGGCCTCCTCTGAGAATGTCAGCTCTGCATGACCTTAGGCGAGTCACTTCACCTCTCTATGCCCCAGTTTCTCCCCTGGCAGAGCTGTTGTAAAGACAAAATTGGTTCATGTATGCAAAGTGCTTAGCCCAGCACCTGCTGTGGAAGTTGTCAGTAAATGTTAGCAGTCACTATGATGGTTTCCTGCCTCAGAGCCACGAGGGGCTGAGGAATGGCTTGGGTCAGGGCTCGCGGCCCAGCTCTGGCCTCCCAGACTGAGCCAGCAGCTTCCAGGCCCAGCAGCAGCTCATTGGAGACTCAGAGTGCCAGGCCATACTGGGGAATCCTAACGCAGAAGGTGGGCCAAGGGAGGGGGCTCACACCTCAGCCTGCAGCCATCTGTGGCACAGGAGTCCCCCAGTCTCCCAGCCACGGGTTGGTCCCCCTGCGGCCTTCTGGTTCTCCAAGCCCCCTTGCCTCACAAGGCGCCCCTCAGGCCATCTCCTGCAGTAAGAATGCCCGTCAATCCTGCTGCCAGAGCACCCACAGTTCCTACTCCTCGGGGCCTCAGGCTCCTCAAGTATGAGAGGGCATAAAAACTCCCACACCACGGGATTAGCGTCAGGGGAGGTCATGGATGGAGACTGCTTGGCTTTGGCAGCCAGTCAGGGCCCACTCTCGTTACTGCCTGCACCCCAAGGCTGGCGGGTCCTGCTTGCCGCGCCCGGGCTCCCTGCAGTGTCCAGGAGCCCAGGCTCACGGCAGGCGTCAGGAAGGAGCTGTTGCCCAGGGTGGGCTGGAATGAACTGAGGAGCCCCGGGAGCTGAGAAGGGGGCGTGATGACCGAAGCCTGTGGGTGAACAATGCTCACCCCAAACAGAGCTTGAATGAAGGAGGAAGGAAGAGAGGACGGGCTGAGCACACCCTGGGCCCCAGAGGAAGTTGAACGCTGGGCCGCGGTGTGACAGTTCAAGGCCCTGTGCACCACAGCGCCTCACCCCACCTCGCCGGCTGACGTCAGCGGGGAGTGCATGACCCTGCCTGCCTCCTCCCCCAGGCCCCGGATCTTTGAGGTGGGGGTCCCAGCCTGGGGGCTCCCACAGCTAAACTCTGCACAACCGGGCACCCAGCAGAGCTTTGCGTCTTCAGGTCAACTTTACCCTGTCCAGGCTCCTTTAGTAAAAGGCAACCAGTTAACAGCACCCCTTCACTCACCTGCACCACCTCACATCCCCCAGGTGTGCCCTAGAAGATATCTATTAAGCATCTACTGTATACAGGGTGGTTTCACCTCCATGAGTTCATTTAATCCTTCACAATACGCTGAGGTGAATATTCTATGGGTAAGGAAAATAGCTCAGAGAGGCTAAGTAACCTGCCTGAGGTCACACAGCTTGTAGGTGACAGAGCTGGCCTCCCAACTCAGGCTCCTATAGGTGAGTGAATGCGTGCTGGAGGAGCCCTTGGAGAGCCAGTGCAACTAGGCCTCTGGTTTGCCAAGGAGGAAATGGATTCCCAGTGCCGGGAAGCCAGTGCCCTAGGCTGTGCCCCGGGCTCTTGGCAGAACCAGATAGGATTAGCAAACTTTCTTTTGGCATTGGATCCCTGGCAGGAGGGGCTCTGCCATGAAGCCTTCTTCCTTCACTGCCTTCAGGTCTCCATTTAGAGGCCACCACCTTAGAGAAAAGTCTGGACAGTCCTAGCTGAAGGAGGGCCCTATCATCCTCCACCTCTTAGCCTGGCTTTATTCTTTGCAGCACCTACTGTCATTTGCAGTTCTATGCATCACATTATTTATTTTTTACCCCCCACCCCCACCCCAATTAGAATGTGAGCTCCATGAGCTCAGGGAGCATCTACCTTGTTTCCTTGGATAGAACAGTGCCTGGCACAAATTCAACATTTTTTGTGTGGAATGAATGAAAGGATGAATGAAGTCAGATGATAAAGGAAGAGTCTTATGCGTTATGGGGGGATAGTTTAGTGTAAAGATGAACTTGCAAAGGGCAAACCAAATAGTTAATTCTAGGTGGGGGTGGGGAGTGAGAAGTAATTTAGGAAAGAGAAGGGGCAGGGCCAGCATGCGCAGACATGAGGTCTGGCACATAGACTGTAAAGTAAATGGTGTCCCCTCCAGTTGTTCAGCTCTCAACTTGGACGACAGTACAAGGTGACTCTGGGGATGGGAAGAACACAACAGTTTTGGCCCCTTCAGCAGACCGGAGGGGGTGAGGGAGCGAGGAGTCGAGGCAGCTCGACAGGTGCCTGCAGCAGGAGGAACAGGCTGTACCCACCATGAGGTCGCCACGTGGTCGCGGTTAGCAGTTTGCCATCCGGTGGCATTGTCTCCACAGACGGTCGTCCAACCAGGGGGAGCGAGCGTTCTGCTGTTAGCAATCTCTAGTACCTGGAGCACCCCTGTGGGATGCGGGTGGGGAAATCACCCAGACATACCCCACAAACACACACCAAACGCTGCGGACAGAGATTATCACCACAGCAGGAGGGAGGGCTGTTTCCTGAGCCAGCAGGGAGCTCTGAAGGCAGAGGACACTGTGTTCTGAGACCTCTCCACCGAGCGGAGGACTCGGTGAGGAACCCGTCCCGGCCCCCTTCTTCCTCCTTAGTCCTACAGGCTGGGCACAACAACAATCACCCTGTGCTCGTGGGGCCCGTCTTCGATGAGTCACCTTGCCCACGGCGAGCCTTGCGGGGTGATGTTATCGGCTCCTCTGCTTGCTTAATTCCCTGGTTGACATCACCGTTGCCTGGTCTTCCCCTTCTCGGCACTGCAAGCCTGAAGGCTGGCATATCCTGGAAGAGAAGGTGGTAGAGGTCATTTGCCAAGAAGCTAGCAGGGCAAGTAAATTGGGACCCTCAGTCACTTGGCCATTAGCACCAAGGTGCTTGGCCTAGTTTCTTGCTTTGCTGGACAGAGGTCTTGGTTTACTTCCCCGGGAAATGCTATCTGGAGCCTGTGTCTTTGGGGCGTGGTCCCCAAGGCCAGCCCTCTGCTGCCTCGGGCATCTGCTTCCAAGTTCTGTCTCTTGCAGGCCTATCTGTGATGGGCCCAGGATTTCCCGGGCCCAGACTGGGCTGCCTGCTGGCCTTCTGCCCACCTCTCCGTCCAGCCACTGTGCCCAAGACCCAGCTCCCTCAGAGGCCCCGGCTCCTTCCTTGCTGGTCTCCTGCCCCCACTCCTGAGCAGCCTCCTGGGAGCCTAGGCCTGTCCTCCTCTGCCACAGCCTAGCATTCTCTCTGGCTTCCCCTGACCTTGTCACCCTTCTCAGTGCTGCCCCGTGGTCAGTGGCACATGGAAGGTGCCATGGAGTCGGCAGAGCAGTGGCAGGGGTGGCCACACACACGTGGCCGGGTGGGATGAGAAGGGAAGGGTTCAGTCCTCTTCCCACACCGTCCTACTCTGGCCCCTCCCTGTCATCTGAGCTGGACAGCAGAGGGGTGAGGTGGAGAGGTGCAGAAGAGGCTCCACTCAGGCCACTGGGGCAGGACCTCAGTCCTCAATGGGAGGCTGGCCAAGCTTGGCAAGTGAGGGAGGCAGTGAGGGGAAGTGGGTGGGGCTGGGCAGGGAGCAGAGCCAACCCTTTGAACTGCCCAGGCAGCATCCTCTGTGGTCCCAGGAGACAGCGCCTCAAATGTCACTGCCAGAGGCCAGGGAAGGGGGAGGGGGAGGTTGCTCAACACCAGCCACTTTTATACTAATTATGTGACCGAATGAATTGTTCTTAGAAGGAAAAAGAAAAAACAAACAAAAAAACCTCAAAACCCACCACTGAGGTCATTCCTATTACCCCCAGCAGCCAATGAGCAGATCCTGAGAACAGATAGCATACCTGGGCCAGGGCTAGCTCTCCCCCACTCACCCTGTGGCCAGAAAGAAGCCATCAGTCAGCCTGGCCACTCTGCACCCAAACCCTGGCTGCCTCGGCATCCTGGAATGTCGTAGAATGCTGTTCCAAGTAAGAAGGGGGTGAGCTTAGAGAGAGGCCTGGAGGAGCAAGCCTGGGCGCAGCCCCACACACCCTAATCTCTTTGGGCCTCTGTTTCCCCACCTGTCAGATGGAGGAAACCACTCAGGAGTCAATGAGATAATAACTGTGAAAGTGCTGAGCGGTGTTCATTAGCCAGTGAAGAGGCGGGGGTCCTGCAGAGAAGGGAACAGGGAGTCAGGAAGAGCTTCAGAGAAAAGGACACACCTCGGTGATTTAAGAACGTTGAATCAGGTGACTCCTACTCTCGACTCTTTTTGGTCCCCCCCCCCCCCCCCCCCCTTGTCTCCCTCCTCCTCCCCTCGGGGGGGGGGGTTGTACACCTTGAGAATGATGGGCACCAGTGTTGAACTTAGCCTGTGGTCTGCTCAGACCCCTGGATCCCTTTTCAAGTTCGAGAATGCAGGGTCCTCAGTTTAGTCTAGCGGGTGGGTGTTCTGCTGTAGTACTTTCCTCCTAGGCCACAAACCAAGCTCAAATTGTAGTCAACCCTGACTGCTTTCCTTAGTTGGAGAGTAGAGCCTGATTCTGGCTGTAGTTTGAGCACTTATCCCTCTTTAATCCTGAGCCCAAAGCTCACCTCCACTTACAAAGCCCACACACACATCAAACTCATTTACCCCAGACTGAACTTGTCTTCCTTGCAGTGGCCTCTTCCGCTGCTAGATCTTAGTTCATGGTAAGACTCCCCATCATGCAAGCCAGAGGCTGAGTCATCCTTGACCACCACCTTCTGTCCATCACATCTGATTAGCCATCTCATCTAGTGGATTCTAACACTTCGGTATCTTGAGTTTTCATCCTTCCCCTCTCCCCTGCCCCCATTCTGTAAGAGTTGAGATACCCATCTCTTTCCTTAAGAACAGCCCGTAGAACCCAGTAGACCTCCTGGACCAAGCTCCACACAGCTGCCAGGGGACCGACTGCTGACGGAACCCTCCCCGCCTGGAGGCTCCTGCCAGCCTTGCCAGCCTCATGGCCCAGCTCTGCGGGACAGGGACAGACCATGTACACGCTGGAAACGGCTGGGCTGAAACTGCTCATTAGGGTTACTCAGGCTGCTGAGAATGCCTTTCTCCTCCCTGTCAGCCTGGAGAGTGTCCTCCTCCTCCAGGAGGCCTCTCAGACTGGCTACGTCTGTGCGCGTTGCTCCTTCCTCGGTGCCCCGCTCTCCTCTGCTCATTGTGGGCTAAGCGTGCCCTGCCTTGTGGCGCCTCCACGGCTGTAGCCACCCAGACCCTGATTCCACCAAGAGAGCAGTGGATAGTGCCAGGCAGACCTGGGTGGCGTTCAGTTTTGCCCGTTTCCCACTGGGGACACGGGACAAGTTATCTGTCTCCGAGCTTTCCTTCCCTTGTCTATCAAAATGGGTTAATACCTCTACCTGCTTCTCAGGATGGGTAATTGAGCCAGTCAAGTGCTTGGCACAGAGCCTGGAACACCACGGGAGGGTAGCAAATGGCACCCACGGTTTCCAGTGTTGCCACCCCTTACAAAGACATAGGAAACAGTGCTGACACCTCAGCCCTCCTGTCCCTTCCCTAGAGCTCTCCGTCAGCTCAGGCCCTTCGTCCCCTCTGCCCTTGATCAGACCCCTCTGTTCATCTCCTTTCTGGCTGTCTGCTCTCTGCACCTGGACAAGGTCTTGGGCAATGCTGCCTGGTCCCCTTTTGCCATACCTTCCCCCCCATGGGGAGCTCTTCCTCCCCATACCACTACCCCTCTCCGCCCCTCCAGCTGCTGTCCATGTGGGCGGCCATGCTCAATGTCAGAACTGTTCTCAGCCTGGGGTCAGTGTGGCTGCTGTGCTCACCTCACACATTGCAGTTGCCGCGGTGTGCTCAACAAGGCCCCGAAGTTTGCCCCCAGCCATACTGGGAGTGCGTTGCTGAACTGGCCAGCTAGTAAGCCCAGGTCTTCTGGCTCCAAAGCCAAGACTCTATCCAGTCTGCCCTGGTGCCATCCCCTTCGGTCCTTTTTGCATCTATGCGACTCAGTCTCCTCATCTGCAAAATGGGCACAATAATTCCTTCTTCTTCTTCTTCTTCTTCTTCTTCTTCTTCTTCTTCTTCTTCTTTTCTTCCACATCTGGAGGAAGGGAGAATGGGGTTAATCTGGGAAGTTGGAACGAGCTGGAGACCCTGCTGTGTACAAGGCAGTCGAGCCTGGATGAGTGTGTATGTGTGTGTGTGTGTGTGTGTGCGTGCGTGTGCGTGTGTGGTGGTGGTGGCGGGGGGGTGCATATAACAGGACAGAACAAGTTTGGGAAGCTAGTTCTGCCTGCTCCCTTCCAGCAGTCCGAGCCCTGTGCCTGAATCCACAGCGCCCCCTGCTGGCGAGTCACCCCAGAAGCTCCCTGTGGGCAGCACCAGCCCTACACTTTGCTTTTCCCTAAGGCGACCCCAGGGAAGCTGTCGCCCCTGCCCTCACGGTGCCCAATCTGAGGGTAGACAGGCACCCATGGCCCAAGAAGCCCAGACTGGGGGTGGCGAACCAGTGTGAGATGGGAGCTTCCTAGGCCAATGGTTCCCCATTGTCTGCCATAAATCCACTGAAATCTCCTCCTGAGAAAGGTCTGCAGCTGGGCAGAAACCCAAAGGAATGGTCGGTTCCAAGCCCAGCAGCTACCCCTTGATTAGGACCACCAGTACCCCCACCCCCCATGGACCATCTGGGGAGTCATTAGATGAGGGCAGACCCTGGGGAATGGAGGGGAGGGGCTGGTTAGGCCCCTGCTTGAGCTTGGGCTGGACCCCCTCATCAGTGCCCTTACCATCCAGACACATCCTCCCAGCACGGCAGATCCCAGACCACCCTCCCCTCCTCCTCTCCAGACCTTTCCTCCCCACCTCCGCAGCCTCATTATCTCAGCATTTCCATAGCCTGATTCTGTGTTGGGTGCTGGCTATTCAGGGACAAGCAAGGCCCTAACCGGTCCCCCAGAAGCTCAGGCATGGCACTGTTTCTCCCATCTTCTCCTGCTCATTCATCCGCAGCATCTTCCCTGTTCTGGAGGAAGGCAGCCATATGTAACACTCCCCAGATTAAGATCCAGCCAGCTGTGGCCACCTCTCCCCAGAAATTCTCCACCATTCCCCACCCTGGGTTTTGTTTGCTGTTTTTGAGACTTTTCCCTCAAACTGTGACCTTCCCAGACTGCCGATACAAAGTGGAGATTGCATTCTTCCTCCTCCAGGAAGCCCTCCTGGATGAATCCCAGCCTCAATGATTTTTCCCTACTTCAACCTTTTTCATGATCTGCTGGCACACACTGCATTGTTCTGGGTACATTTATTATTCTATCTGCCCCATAGGAGCTCCAGGCCTCAGGGGGAAATAGCTATGCCCTCTTTCCCTGTACCCCTGGCAAGACCATGCATGCTCCTTTCAGTCCACATAGCTCAGTGTTTTTCAACTGGGCATGGTTTCTCCCCCAGGGAAGTTTGGCAACGTCTGGAGATAATTCTGGTTGTCATGACTAGGAGAAGTGTGCCACTGGTGTCTGGTGGGCAGAGACCTGGGATGCCGTGAACCATCCTACAGGGCACCAGGCAGCCCCATGACAAAGAAATATCCAGCCCAG